TGTAGCCGGACATCTATTAAATGTTTTGGTTTTACCTTGTAAGTCCGTTTCTATGAATTCGGTCGCCAGCTCATTTTACCTTTGTAACGAGCAAGGTCTAATAGGAAGTCTCGGGCTGCCGTGCGCCTTGTTGCTTTTCCTTAGATGCCCTTCCTTCCTTCGTAATGGTGTAGCCTGGATGTAGTCCTTGCCTCTTGTTGGGAATCCCTCTTTCGTTTTTAGGCAGCTTTAGGACCGGCTGCACCCTCATCAGACTTCGTTGTATCAGTTTATATCTTTGTTTCACACCGCTCGTTTATGTTATTTAAATCTCGTTTACTATTTGTACGTTTAACGGTGGATGGGTGAATGTATTATGACTCGAGTTATATAAAAAATTAAAATGTTTATTTCACAAATTCAACAAATCAGTCTCTCGGTCGCATTCACTCTTACAATATTTATCTCCCGTTCTTCCTTCTCAAACAGGGCTTGAGATCTACCCTTTCTCGGTTTACGCGCTTTATTCCAACAATGGCGTCCGTTGCTACGCAACTCTTTTCGGCGCCTTCTCTATTCCGCGTTTCTATTACTTTTATGGCCCTAATCTATTGATTATTATTGCTTCGGCCTAACGTCTGAATTAATCCGTTAATTCGTTCGTCCGATCGCGTTTTTCGCGATATTACGCAATGTTTTTTATAACCGCGCCTGTCTTCGCGTTCGCGTCGGTTCGTTGCCGGGACTCATCTTTCCCTTTCCTATGCGGTTCGTTTCCGCTTTTTCTATTCTCGCGACTGGGTCCCCGCCTCTTGGTATTATTGTGCCATTGGACGGTTTTCCGTATTGGCTTTTGATCGTTTCCGCCTTCCTTATTGTCGCGATTCGCTCCCCGCCTTCCTACGCCTAATTCCTATTGGACGGGTGCTCTTATTGGTGGTTTTCTCTAGAGGTATCTTCCTCCTTGTCTTTAGGGTATTCCCCTCTTTGTCATTCATCCTATTCATTCGAACAAACCTTATAATATAATAGTTATTTAACCTCGGCAGTTTCTGAACAAACCGAGTTACCTGATTGGCTAAAAATAAAGAATTATTACAAACTTAAATTTTATATCTCTTTCGGTAACCTATCCTATGATAATCTAAATTAAACATCGGTGGTTCCCTACCTTACCGATTTATCCTTTTGCTAAAAAATAATGTTGATTAAATTTTTGTTTTATTTGTTTATGTGGTATATAATAACCTAAAAATATGAAAAATTATTAAATTGCCGACTTATGAACTAAATAATTATAATCGATAAGCCTCTTGCCCACTTTATCGACCTCTTGATCGCGGCTAATACTAATTTCTTTTTTAGACTTAAAATTTTGTTTCGTTTATGTTATTTATACAGTAAGATAATCGTTTATTATAATAAGGGTTAAAATATGTTTTTATTAAAATAATTAATTTTTATTTTGTTTTATAATTTTTAGGTGACGTCTTCTTTCTTGTCCTCTTCTATCTGGATTTCCTCCGCTACTTCCTGGGTTTCCAAGGTAAGTATTTCCTATTGTTGAATTAAAATAAATTATAATTGTGCACGAATGTATTCGGTCACAAGGTGCGAGGAGGTTGGCGCGGGCTCCTTCAGGGCATGTGCCAACGATTGAAAGTTAGCGGCAGAAATAGTGAGGCCAACTAGAGTTAGATAGGCGATTGGTTTCTTTCAACTGTTCAAGTCGGCGAGGCCCGACCTTATTTTCCCGGCTCTCCTTCAGAGAGGACTGGGGCAGATAATCGGGCCCCTCACGAGGATGTTGAGAGGCTGTCTAGCTCTCGGTTACACTCCCCGAGCGTGGAGAAGGGCGAGAGTCGTCTTTATTTCCAAAGCGGGGCGGGCGAACCATGTCATTGTTAAAGACTTTAGACCGATCAGCTTGACCTCGTTCCTTCTTAAAACGTTGGAAAAGTTGGTTGAAGTATATATATCAGAGACTGTGTGCTGGCCTGGTATCCGCTGCATGCCAAGCAGCACGCTTACCGGGCTGGCCACTCGAGTATACCGGCCCTCCATTCGGTTGTCTACAGTATTGAATGACAACTTCAGAAGGGGCGCTTTTTGGTAGGCACCTTCCTGGACATTGAAGGGGCCTTCAACAACACTCCACATGAGGTGGTTTGTGCCGAGGCGACAAGGCGGGGAGTACCGGCAAAACTTGTTAAATGGATTCGGGGAATGCTTGGACGCCAAGTGACGACATCGCTAGGTACGGTGAGTGTCGAAGGATGGGTGGGGAGAGGCTGTCCCCAAGAGGGAGTCCTCTCACCAGTCTTGTGGTGCCTAGTAGCGAATAGGCTACTTGAAGAGCTTAATGACAAGGGCTTCAAGGTAACCGGGCTGATGACTTGGCGATCCTGATAGGAGGCCCTTTCCTAGAAACGCTCCTAGACCTCACACGAGGGGCTCTAGAAGTGATAGAGGAATGGTGTAAGAGGACAGGCCTATTGGTGAACCCGAGTAAGACGAGTCTGGTGATCTTCACACACAAGTATAAAATAGGCCCCGTGGAGGGGCCCGTATTGAAGGGAGTCAGACTGACTTCTGGAATGTCAATTAAGTATCTGGGAATTGTCCTGGATAAAAGATTGAACTGGAAGCTGCACCTGGAATCAGTGTGTAAGAAAGCCAGCACATACTTTTGGATGTGCAGAAGAACCTTTGGGCAAACTTGGGGATTGCAGCCAGACAGAGTGTTTTGGCTATACTCTGCGGTGCTCCGACTAAGATTGCTCTATAGTGCGGTGGTCTGGTGGCCAAGGATACAGCAAACCGAGGCCCGCGCATCACTGGAACGCGTCAGGGCTCTCTTCTTAAAGGGGGCTCTGGGTGCAATGAGGACAATGCCAGTGGCGGCAATGGGAATGCTGCTCGGCATAGAACCATTCCATCTCGCGATAGTGGCGGCAGGAACGGTCATGGCGTATAGGCTGAAGTGCGAGGGAAAATGGATGAGTGGTGTGACTCACACCCGGTTACCGTGGGAGCTCCAAATGGAAACCGTGTTTGAGGCAGGATAGAATGCCAATAAGGCGTGACTTTGACAGATCGTACAAGATCTATATTCCTAGCCGTGAGGACTGGGAGAGGCATGAGGTGCCCGCTATCAGGAATGGGGATGTCTAGTACACGGATGGCTCCAAGACTGATGAAGGCGCCGGTGCCGGGATCTACGGATGTCGTAGTGGAGTCAGGAAGACTCTCCCTCTTGGAGAGTTCACCACTGTCTTCCAATCGGAGGTGATAGCGATTATGGGCTGTGCTTAAACGCTAACCGCATCAGGTGAGACGGGCAGACACATTAGGATATGCTCCGATAGCAGGACGGCTCTGGGGGCATGCGTTTTTGATTCGTGGCTGGTCTGGGAGTGCAAATGTGCTCTGAACACTGTCCACGGACAATGATGTTGCTCTCGTATGGGTTCCGGGACACTCGGGAATCAAAGGTAATGAGATAGCTGATAAGCTGCAAAAAGTGGCTCATCCGCCAGGCTGACGGGACCAGAACCGGCTCTAGGTTTGCCCAGCTGCATCTGCAGAGCAAAAATAAAGGGCTGGTTACAAGACCGTCATATCAACTACTGAAAGGAAGAGACAAGAACCAAATGCAAGCAGGCGAGAGCCCTGCTGGGAGAGACGCCCAGCAGGGACCTTGCCAGGAGCATTAGGGCCTTGAGGAGAGGGGAAGCCAGGCTGGCGGTGCAGATCTACACGGGCCATGGCTTCACTAATTACCACATGCACAAGCTGGGGCACAGTGATAACCCAAGGTGCAGGAAATGCGAACACGAGAAAGAAACCTCTCTCCACGTGCTATGCGAATGCCCAGCGTATGCAGGACAAAGGCAGCTTTTTCTGGGCTCGGTATTTCTTGAGCCCAAGCAGGTATGTCAACTCCAGGTCAGGGACCTCCTCCGTTTCTGAAGGAAGACAGGTCTGATCTGATCTGGAGATAGTACGGCCGGGAAGACACAATGGACCTAGTCTGCGTGTCGTTGGCTGGCCCCAACTGGTGGCTGCCTCCCGAGATGATTATTATTATATATTATTTTGATTAGAATCCTCAGAATCATGAAAGTCGTGATCAATGTTGCCTTCATTTTCCCGATGTCTACGATAAATGAATAAAATTAAAGATAATGAAGAAGACAACAAATAAAAAAATCCTATTATAGTAGCAGCGCGAAAAAATTGCTTATATCATAGGCTCTACAACATATTGTAACAAGATATCATAATTCATAGTCTGAAGAACTGTACTTATCGTCGCTTTTGGTTATCTTTACCACTGTCCATTAAATGGATAGATTTTAGATGTTTATTTAGACTGGAGGTTGATCTACCTGTCAAAAACAC